TCACGCAATCTGCCAAGGCTGACTCCGGTGATAATTCTCATGGTTTGTGCTACATTTCAGCAACGGTCCCAGTGCTTCGTTGAAAATCTTCCTAATAATTTGCGCGATGCTTGATCCACTGTAGCAGGATGATGAAAAACCGAACATTCTAACTAGAAGAAGTTTTGTTAAATGAGCCGTTTAGTTTGAAAGTCACTTTACCGAAATGAAAAGTGGTGTTTTTTTAATGTTTATACGAAATTATTTATACTGAGAAAAATATCAGTATCCTGAGATAACAAATACAAGTAAATCTTTTCGAAAGTTAGCATCCATATTTTGAAACTGTGTTAAAACGCAAACCCTGAAGTATATCGACTTAAAAACAAAGTGACTTATGCTACTTTCAAAATAAACGACTGAAATATAGAAACGTTCAACGTCCTGTGAAACAATTTTCCTGTGAAAACATCTGTAGAAGAAAGAGGTAGCGTCCTCCCCGCTTTTCAACGTAATTGTACGTATTATATCTTCGAGCGTCTTCTGCAAAATTACACGCTTCATTTTCTCGAAGTCTCCTTCCTCTACCTGCATTAGTTTATTTTCCCGGATAATCTCGCGCCGTTTCCCAGCAAGCAACTTCGATCGTGACTTCGGTTGACAAATGTTTTCCCATGCGAGCCTCGTTATTCCGACGGTTCGTGTTACTGAATCCTTTTCTTCGAGTTGCCTCATCATCGATAGTCGGTTCTCAGACATCCTCTAATTTTCGTTTCTTGTCGAAGTACGTTGCATGCGATATTTTCTACCTTTCCTTTAAAATTCTACTACTCCCGTTCAGTTTCCCAGTTTCGTAGCTGTTCGTGTCGGCCGATGTATCGAAGTGGCTCTCGGACAGTGTCAATTACATTCGGTCGTTCGTTTCTTCTGGTCCGAGGAACAAGAATATTAGTTCTACCCGTTATTAAACGAAGTCTTCGGCCCGTTCGGGAGAGTCCTGAAGAGAGATCACCGCGAAGTGAACGCGAAAACCATAGCTCCTTTCCTAGAAATCCCACCACGGTTTCGTGACACGCTGTTCAACTTGTTTTCGCTTCCCTTTCCTCCCCTTCTTTTGTTCTCCTTGCAAAAGATACCGTGAGAAGCAATGACTGCGGCCGAGAACAATACTCAACCCTGTTAAATCCTCCCACTCTGGCTGCACGAAAAGTCGAATTTTGTCACGATCTTCCAGAATTTTGTGCCTTCGGAGTTTCAACCGATGCACAGTGCGGATCGTATCGGCGAAATTCAACAGTCGCGTTTATCGTGGCATGAGATATATTTCTTTGCAAAATATGGTTATTAAGATAGCAATTTCTATGAATAATCATATAAACCAATAATATATATTATATATAAACGGATAATTATTATATATAATTATGTATTTTTTTTTTTAATTATATATAATATATGTTATTATATATAAACGAATAATCATATCAATAATTTGTATGTTCAATACATGATTAATTTTTTATGTATTTTTAATTTGTTTTTAATATCTGCGTTATGATAGATCGAGATACTGTAGAAAAACGTGGATGTAGGCTAACAACCGATCATTCTTGTTTTGTTATTCGAGATTTATATTTATTTCGAATTCATTGAAATTCTGTATAATCGAAGATACTCGCCAAAGTATTTGCGCTGGTTTATATTTACTGAAAGTAAGTCTTTCTCTTGTATCGATGTCCAACTTTTTGTTCATTACTTGCACAAAAAATTTCAAATTAACATATCTCAAAACCAACGAAATATGCACAAGATATATTACCTTTTGCAGTCTCAGGATTCTATATGTATATCTTTTTTGCAACTAACAGCTATACTTAATTTTATAGACTTTTTAATAAGCAATCGTAGCTTTCATTTAGACCCTATTTTGGCAATACAAAATTCTGACTTATTCGGTATATGAAATTGACGTTTATTTACTAAGATGCGTGCAAGAATGATCACAGGAGTCAGCTATTTTATATGATATGAGAAGCACTGACAGATATCGAGTCAGATATCGAATAGCATTAAGTTACGTTTGTTAATTTTTTACAACCATTATAATCTCTTCGAGTTTACTATTATTAATTGTATTAAATTCGTTAATTTGTTTAAATAAAATTACTGATTCGTTTTCTAAGTTTTGTTAAATTTCATTTCTTGTATGTAACCGAATCCAGTGTTAGTAACCAAATCTAGATTTTTATCAGAGAAGAAAGTTAAAAAACATGAGTTTTCATTATTTTTGTCATTCCAAGTGATAGCAAAATTAAAAAAGAAGAGTATTATAGTCATTGTCTAGTAAACTAGGCCCCTAGCATCTAAAAAGATGCCTCTATCATCTGAAAAGCATACCGCAACGAGTGAATGTTCTTTAAAACTAGTTCGATCAATTCGCGAGATTAAATTACGAAAGATCGATGACAGTAAAATTTGATGTCTGATTTTTGAAAATTCCAATCGAGAAACACGCACCATTCTCAATGCGAAAAGATTTTGTATCGCGTCTCTTTGAATTTAAACTGCTAATTAACCCCTTGCCGTACTTCGACGAGTCCGACTCGTCATAAAAATTTCTAATAATAACTTATTAAGTGTCGATTTTATTCTGTCCTTTAAAATTGGAATAAAATTCTAATCAATTCTTGTGATCAATATTTAAGCATTCAGGCACAATTTAGGCTCACAGCAATAAGCATCAATTTGCTTTCCCTTCTACGAAATTATTGCAATCGAAAAATTTCTAATCGCAACAACTGCGAAGAAAATCGTATATCAAGGGGTTAAAGATCAAACGTTCTGTCTACCGGGTTGTATTTAACATCGAACACAATTTATTTTCCGAGCGGATTGCGCGAACGCGTTAAACTAAATATTGGATTGGCAACTAAGTAATCGCCGATTTCAGTTATAGATATCTCTCACTCCCATTTTTAGAGAACTGTGATAATTCGTTTGACTTCAATAGAGGAGTTGGCACGTTTAAAAAATCATTTTGGAGCAACTCTTACAGGAGAATATGTTGGACTAGATCTTCTCAGTTCGACACTGTACAGTATTTTTACTTGGATCAAGCGACATTTTTAACGAAATTCGAATAGATAGTGGACGAATATAATAATAAACTTATGCAACAACAAATATAATATAATAATAAACTTATGCAACAATAATATGATATTGTATAATTTGAGATGCTCTGAAATAGGCTAGTTGAATAATCTTTAACAGGTCTAATGTTCATAAATGTAACATAAAACTGTAAAACTTCTAAATATTGGGTTGGCAACTAAGTAATTGCCGATTTCAGTTATAGATGTCTCTCACTCCCATTTTTATGATATCCGTAAATGTTATATTATAAAATTATTATTATTAT